CCAAACCAGTCTAAACATCTGGCTGACTGTGCAACCAACCATAATAATATATTCCTTTTAGATTGACCCCTTTTCTCCCAATAGGTCATTCTACAGTGCCTCTTCCTTCCTCTGGATACATATAAAAATATCTAGAAAATTAATCACCCTAGGCAGTAGAAATGATACAATGAGAATATTAAATTAAATAACCAACCCCTGAGGTGACTAATGTTTTTATACTTAAGAGCAGGCTGGCCTTAGAAATTGGGAAGATGTCCTAATTTCCAAACAATAGGGTGAGTAGAGAAGGGGACACTTAATTGGAAGAGTTGAAGAGGGATGATATTTGGGCTATGAAGGATCTCACACATGTACCTATGTCTCCTCGGAGCTCTTGAGTTAGCTGGGGATTCTTGTAGAGCAATGCAAGGCTCTGGTTCATCCGTTCCTCAATGACATGGAGATGGGTATACACCTGGGAAAACATGCAACAACAGAGAATGATACTTTCTAGAGTAGTTGCAAAGACCCAAGATGGCGGCCAGAGGGAGAAGAAAATCATACCTGGAACTTCATTTGTTCAGCCTTTTCAGGATCAGCAGCGGCCACATGCTGGTAATGGCGGAGAGTGTGGCGCTGGTCTTTCTGTTCCGCCCGCACATATCTCTTCAGAGCTGCCAGGATGCGGTCCGGCTGGGTCAAAAGAAGAAGAGCTTGACATAAATTAGTTGAACCTTGGCTAACTTTCTGCCATTCCTTGCCTCCTCTCAATAGCTTGCCTTTGAGCACATGGGATCATCTTCCTTGCCTCACTTGGTTTCCTCCATTTCAGGCACAGGTCAGCCCAGGTGGCAGCACAACCAAGACAACTTGGCTGATTTTGAAAAAGCTAAACGGAGTGAGACTTGGAAAGGCTGTACACTAGATTGGGAAGGTGAAAAACACTACGGAAGTAAGGGAGGGGTAACCCTTTGCAGTATTGCCACCATGGAAACAACTTGGTTCATGGACATCCATGGGGTCACCAGAGCTGAGTGCAACTGACAGGAGACTTTACTTTGCCTGATGTTTACAGGAATTGGAGCCACAAGAAAAATGAACATTGTGAGTGCTTTCCACACAGACCCTGGCACATTTAACATGTTAAGATCCCCATTTTGGCATTAGGAAGAAAGGGAGGTGTCTGCCCAGCTAATAAGGACAAGAAAACTGTATTTCACCCATGAGAATTTCACTGAAAATTTTTTTGAAAAAGAAATCAAACTGAGTGAGAAAGGGAAAGAAAAACTGCAGACAAATTTTTTGGCAGAGCACTAGAAAAAAAAATTACCACATTATCCTACGCCCAGTTTGGAGTTGGGAGCACAGCACAGAAGAAAGTGCGGGGGGTGGGGGGAGGTGAACTCTGTTTTATTTCTGGATGTCATTCCCTAGAAGTGACTTCTGGGATTTTAGCAGGAAACCAGTACAGAGAATGGGGGTGGGGAGGAGTAAATTAAGCTCCCCACTTGCCATTCTGCAGTTATCTTGTCTACATCAGCGTTCTTCAACGCTGCTTTCCAGATGTGCTGGATGTCTTGAATCCTCATTTAGAGGAGCCAGTGGCTATTCTGGCTGATAATTCTAGGAGCTGAAATATAGCATACCAGGAAAGCATGAAACTTAGGAAAATTGCCTGTAAGGGAACAGATCATTCCTAACTTCATTAATTAATAGCACTACTAACACCACATGCATTATGAATTCTGACTCACTTTCCTGCTCCATAATTCTATTCTTTGTCAGTTTCAGGGCATCATATGGGGATGGCATCATATGACTGCTTCTCCACCAGCATGACGACACCTTACATAGTCTTGAACTCTATTCCTTAAAGCATATTTTCTTGCAACACTTGCATACAAGAAACAGAAAGCTAGGGAAGAGCATCTTTCTCTTCTATGCACCTGCTCTGGACTAGGTGGTATTCCAAGAACATGGTCTACTTCGTTTGAAATCCCTATGTAGAATCTGCTTCTTGTTCTCCCAGCTCAATTTCAATTCAATCTCTCTCTCTCTGTCTCAACAGTTGTTTTATTGTGCATTCAAACACTCAACTACACACTGCAATTCACCATTCGTTTTGCACTGGAGTATGGGACATTGCCTTAGAGACTACTGGACTGACACACTCCTTATCCAGAAGGCTTTTATTCTGGACCAACCACAGGGCTGGGGTGAACAGTAGCTATACAGCTAGGATACCTGAAGAAAGCCTCTGGAGAACAAGTGAGACTTAAGGAACCTTTAAAAAACAGCAAGGAATTCTCAAAGTTAAGGTAATCATTACCACAGTTGTACAATCTCATTCTGCTGCATTATGCAGATACATGCAGGCTCATATATGTATGTATAATGACTTGAGCAAAGGAGAATCTAAAGCACTCATAGTCATACAAGAGACTAACCAACACATCACACTAAGGGATAACGTGATTAGTTTAGTTTTGCTTGGCTGTTGTGTGGACCCAGCCATTGTAGCTTGTAAACCATGTTTTATCGTTTAGTGCATTGTGTGAACTTGAACAACTGTGGTTCATTCAATTAGATCAACCAAATATAATTAATCCAATTAAATCAGACCAAAGGGTTATCTAGACTGGTACTCTCCCAGGTGCCTAACTAGATGTCTCTAGGAGGCCTGCCATTTCATTCTGTTTATGTTCCCAACAAAGAGTATTTGAACATTTTTCCCCACCCTGAAGGCATTATGTAGTCATGACTCTTAAATCTGGTTCTGCTCAACAACTCACTTCTTTGACCTTAAGCCCATTTCTGGTTTGACTTGAATTTATTTTTTTCAAAAAGCTCCAATGAACATTTGTATGCATTTTCATGTACATGTTTCCTAAAGTACATATGTATATGCTAATACACGTATTTTGAAATCAATTCCAAATGGCATTCTGAGAAATAAAAACGTTAGCCTATGTCTGCATTGTGGTTCCCATGTAGATATGGGAGATACAGACTGTTAACATTCAGAAGGGAATCAAATATCTCCCCTCTTTATAATGATTCATACTCATTAGTAGCCTTATCTGCAATGCATTTTCCACTTTTGTTTTAAAACTGTTTCGGTTGGTGTAGCAGGAGCACATGAACTGTGGAACAATCAGCTAGAATATTGTATTTGTATTTCAAATTGGCTGTCCCATCTCCCTTCCCTTCCCTTCCAACCCATACATAGCCAATGAGAATTAGCACATTTTCCTGATTATGCTCCTTGGAATGCAGGAGAAGTGAGTATATCTTTGCAGCTGCTTAAGCTGATTCTGTATTCTTGTATTCCATAACTATAAGAAGCCGCTCTTTTCTCTGTTGAAGAGCAGCAAAGAAGGTGCCCATGGAGTTTTCACATCCAAGGCCAGATATAAGGAGCCTCCAGCACATTATTAGTGGTTCCCATAGTGGATGGAGCTGAAATAATGTGACCCATTTTTTAATTATTTGGGGGAGTTTTCAGCAATACCTTAAAAACACTTCCCTGCAAAATTGGGGGACATTTTTCTTCTTTTGCTTTTGGGGGGGATTAAGAGAAAAAGAGCTCTGCAACCACAACACATGGCCGCCATTTTGTGAAATGGATAAGCCCCTGCAGGCAGCCATTTTGCAAGAGCATCTACAAGATTTGCTCAAAATCTGAAACAGTTCCACTGTCCCCAAAAGGTTGGGGATCCCTGAATGCATACAGTTCTCCAAGCTACCATTTACCTTTCCCTACCCATTGAGTTACCTGGGCATGGTCATTCTGTACAGCAGTCAAGTAGTTCTCCAGTGCCGCACGACGGTTATCATTAAGCAGTGCTACTACGCGGGCCAGATGGGTCTCCACCAGCCGCTGGCGCTCTCCAGCCACCTGCTCTTCCAGTGTCTGGAGGACAGATTGGAAGTGCTAGAAAGCAAGAAGAACAGGGAAGGCATTCATTTGTTTAAGGATGCACCAATACTGTATTGTTAAAGCAATGTGAATATGGGCCTGGGAAAAACCCTGGGTTAGAGACCATGGAAGCTTTATTACAGCAAAATATAAAATTATATTCCTGAACACACCTGCAGACATATGTATACTCCCTTTTTTTTCTCCAAGGCTCAAGATAGCTCAATAGCAAAGCAACAACAACGAACTCTTTAAAAAGCAATAAAATTAGCACTAAAAACTTAAAATTACTTAAGCCACCTATAGAGACAATGAAACCCAAACACAACAAAACCTTCCATGCAGAGCATGTTCTCCTAGAAACAGATGTTTAATTAATTACTTGAATTTGTTCAGAGAATTTATATCCTGGCTGTCAAATAAAAAACCCAGGATGGCTTATAATACTTAATCAGAAAGACGATTAAAAGATTGAAACACACTTGAGCAATTCTACTGTATGAAAAATGGTAGATCCTAACATTTTTGAAAGAGCAGCATGAGAATCTCAGCTTTTTAAAATACCTAAATTAAAAAGTTTAGTTTTGGTTTGTTTTTTACGGAAAGAACCAAAAGGTCATTAGGGGAGATTACCAGACAATCTCC